ACTGTCAATACAGGTGAATGTATTATGCAGTATGACTCGACTCTTAAAACAATAACATGAACATTTCAAATTATGCGTCACTAAACTAGTAAACTCACAGTGTTCAACGATAAATGTTTATGAGCATATTTCATAGCAAACATCATTTTTTGAAAATCTGAAAATTACATGTATAAAATAGCGAGCTCTATAGGTAACATGTGTATAGAAGAGTATGGAAGAAGTACCCTAAGATGCACCCTAAGAGTTTGAAAAAACGTGCACTTCTGGTCAATGGGCGGCGCCATTTTGTTTGTTAAGCGAAGCTAGACAACTCATGATGAAGCATCTTCAGAATATTGTTCAACGATAAAGCAATCGTCTTCTGGCAACAGACTGGAAATAATGCAGCTTTGAATAGATCATTGAACTGGAATGTCATGCTTTTGTTATTTGTTATTTGTTGTTTGTTATTGTTACTATGTCTGTCACCATGGCTTCTTTGTTGTCATGTATGTGACTGGAGCAAACCCATGGCATTCATATCACTTCCTCTAGGACTGGAATTGCATGCACAAAGAAGATTACATCATCACATCCTTACGTCATTGCTGTTCCTAGTTCAACTTTCACCAAACTTCTGCCAAGCTATAAGGCTTGGACACCAACATTAGGGGAGGGCTTGTACACATGTGACTTTGATGGCATTTTTAGTCATGCTCTTGTACATGAGTTGGAAATACATACCCATATGTAGGAGAGAGTGGAATATTTCTGTGAAGGTGTGGACAATTTATATTAGTGAAATTAAAAACATTCCTTTTGTCATGTAATCAGGTGGAAGTCGTGGGAGTTCTTCTTATAAGTCATTTGAAACTTCATGTAGGTCAACCATCCAGTCTGTCTCAGGGAAATTGCAAATGGGTTGCTGACACCGTAGATGACTTTCTCACAGATGTCTTTAGTGTCCTACACAGGAAGAATGCAAAATAGAACCGTCCATTGACATAAATGCTCCCTTGAGATGCCAAGAACTAACCAAGTTACTGTCATGAATTTGTTTTCGCGTATCTGTTGACCGACTTAATTAGTTGATTATTAGCGAATTGCTGTGTTATGTCTGTCATCGTGTAGGCCTATTTGAAGTTTTGGACGAAACTTGGCTCAGTGGTTTGGAACTAATTACAAGATACCGTCGCTATTCTGACGACCGTAGTTATTAATGTAGTGAACGATTAATCAAAAGATATGACGTATTCAGTACTTAGTGTGATTGGCTTTATGATTGAAGGTTACGCCCTAGAGTCTTTTTACTGTTTTGTAATTGGTCAGAGTTTTGAAAATGAATAAAGAGAGTTTGAGTTGGTCTTGGCGAAGACTCCACGACAGACGCAGTCCGAGAGAGTCCAGGGGCGAGCCTTGAGAGAGTCCAGTCTTGGGCGAGTCTTGGTTCAGCCTTGGATAGTCTTGGGGACTTTTCCCCAGGGCGCTGTGTCTTACAGAGTGCTCGACAGACCAACTAAGACGAGAGTTGAAACGTATTTCGTTGTGTGTGCC